AACTTTATTCAAACTAAAAAATCATAAGTGCTTTATTGCTTTAAATTGACCAGATATTGCATTTATTGGTTGATTATATGAAAAATAATTCCTTATTCTGACAGATTTTTTTTTTTTCCAAGAGTAAAAATACATTTAGTTTCAGATTCATATGTCTGTCCCAAGAGACAATAACTCATATACAGTATGGTGGGCCCTACAATGAGAAAACAATATAAAGTATAGTGTTTAAAAGAAAGAATTTTGTCTAATATAGTCAATGATTTATAAACGTTTGTTTGAACTGATTATAAATATAATTGTTTGTGTTAAACTATAAACGAGTCTTCATTCAAGCTTTACTTTTTTCAATACTATTAATTTTTTTTAGTTTTAAAGGCACTAGTGGCTTGTTTTTTTATATACAGTTGGCTGACAGGGAAGAGGGGATGAGAGAGAATTAGACATGCAGCAAAGGTCGGATTTGAACCTGGCTCGGCCGCGTAAAGGACTGAGGCCTCCTCTTTTCCCAATAGAAATAGTGAAGCTAACGTTAGCTTAGCTGACATGCAGTTAAAAAACTGAAATAAAGCAAAATGTTAAAGCCTATTGCTACTTCTGTAAAGAAAAATTCATGACTTGTTAAACAAAGTTATTTAATAAGGATTTCTCTAAACCAATGTTTAACTCTATAAGAAAATAGCAGTTAATATGAAGATGCTTTGCTAACATTGCTAGCCATGACCAGGAAGAAAAAGCTGGACTCAAAATGAGGATTTACCCAAAAAGCAGCCAATTACAGGCGGTTTACTTTTTCAGATGATTACCGCCATAAAAGTGACAAAGGTTTACAGGAGCATAATGGGAAAAAAAATTATTCTTATTTCTTATTTCAACCGTTGCGTAAATTAGCTGCAACAGCTAACCGAAAATATTTGATTGACGGATGACCGTTGATATATGATTGGCCGAATTTAGGTGTTCAGGCTAATGTATAACTAACTGGCCTGAATAAGATAAGAAAAGACAGGATTTGAAAAAAAATAATTTTAATAGAAATTTTGGGACAATATGGTATAAATAAGAATACATTTATATACATGTTTAAGCCAGAATGAGTTGACATTAAGATATGATTTCCCTACGACTTTAAAGGCATTCAAATAGAATTTGAATATTATTTTCTTAGCGTTTCATATTTAGTTTTTTAAGCCAAATGTTAACGCTATTTCTGACATTTTCAATTGAAAAAGCTTCCTGGATGGGAAAAAACTTTAAAAAACTTTAAAACTTGGAAACAAAGTCCAGTGGACTGTTTTTTTACTTTTTTGGAACTTGATACTTGGTTATCTCTGTATTTTCTTAGCTTTTTTCTCAACTCCACAATACTTGAAGCTGCCTTAGTAAGTCACCTTAGTAATTTAGTGAGTGTGTATGGGGGCAAGTGATCTAATACTTTTGGCAATATAGCATATTTTCAATTCAGGGTTTATTTTTGAGGACAAAATACAAAGAGGCTGCTTTTAGTCAGACGTGGACACTTTCAATAGGCTGTGTGGACTAGGAGCAGGTTATGTGATTATTCATATTCATCCATATTTCACTTTTATCAAAGTCCATGTGAAAGCACTGCTTTCAAGGATTTGAATGCACCCATCACTGCTACGATGTGCTCAGAAATGGAGGAGGGATATTTTTATCCATCAAACTATTCATTCTTTGCTCTCTGCTTTCCTTTTAACAAGATCTGGGAAGCCTATTCAGACCAATTACCAATGTTTGACAATGGATAAAGGGTCATTTTTAGACTATGGTTGGACCATTGCCACTAACGACATCTCTAACTAAAAGATACCAATACATGTGACATATACTTCCTTTTGTCGGGTTTAGATTTTGTCAAATCTTTTTTAAATATTAGTTTTAATTCAATTCCATTCAGTTTATTTCTATAACACCAATTCACAACACGTCATCTCAATGCACTTTACAGTTCACCAGATCATCCAGTTGAATTGATTTCAAAGTTTTCAATCTGAGGAAAACCAGTTGATTGCATCGACTCATTGACTGGAA